CCCCCCTCCCCCCGCCATACATTATGAACGCAGCCTAATGAACGTAAAAACCACGCTGGCTGCTTCCTACATTGGCATCTGGGCTGATTTCGCACTGAACTCGGGCATGTATCTAGCATATTAAAATAGTTTATTTGAGTAGATTGTACTTACATTCCGGAAATATTTCAGATGTCGATCCTTCAAGGTAAACCAGTATTTCTTTTTCAACAACTGAAACATACGAGGAAAATATTAGCAACTTCTAAGGTTTCATTTACAAACATTACAGCACACAACTTACCAAAAGGTATCCTGCTTTATGAGGTACTTCTGCCAAAGGTTGCGGCGGTAGCTGTAGTAGTAATAATACAATAAAGATGAAAAATCTATTCAAATTCCACGACCATCTGACAATCTCAGTAAGCACAAAATGAAAGATAAACCGAGTACATTCATGTTTGTGTTTTTTTCACCGACTTATTCTGAGAGCAATTTACAGCAACTTTCCTTTACATATCTATCGATTTTACACACAGAAAATGATATATCATAAATATATTACGCCCTAACATATTCAATTCCCCATTACTTTTCCCTATATAGTTTGACTTTCTTTGCCGTATTTTTAATTTCTTCTCTTTGTAATGGACTCTAGTCCTGTTGACAATGTCTTCAAACAGGTGTAAATCATGTTTGATTTAGGTTTTTCTTATATACAGACATTAGTTCATATTCTCTCAATCTACTGTACATTCTTATTTCACAGCTACCTAAATARATAACCTCAAACAAACAAATAAATTTCAACTTGCCACAACAGAGTGGATTCGCCTGGCGTTTTGCTCAAGATAAAAAAAATCATTTACAGAGAATCCACTGTATTGTCTTCCTAGAAGGCATTCTAGTTTGGGTACATAAATACAAATAGAACACAAAAACCTGGCTTCATACCTCAGCGGCATCAACTTTGACAAATCCCACGGCGTCTTCATCAGGAATAAGTGGTGAAGGTTCTAAATTATGAAATAAAAAGACACTAAAATTTGAAGGGTGGGATGGAGCACGGAATAACGAAAGGATGCCAAAAAATTGCCTTGTCAAGCACGACACATTTGTATATCTCTAGCATTTGAAACAAATTTCACCAATCATAGATAACTGTTTCTCTCATTTTCACGGATTTTTGTAGTGGTTGCCCGTGGGAACATCCAAGGATAGATATGTAAATCGGGGTTTTTCCCTGCTATATAGAAAATATCGCATCTAGAAGAATAACTTCACAAAAAAACGTTGAACTAAACCCGAAACGAATCTAAAGCTTAAGTGCTTGTAACCCCTAGAAAAGCAGAGTTTTCTCAAAGACTATGTTTTAAATTTCACAAATATATTTTTTTAAATTTCCAGAGAGCACGATAACTTGATAATTGAGTGAACGTCGTGAGAAAGTAAAGCATAACATGAAATGTTTTTCCGAGTCCCTGCATAAGCTAGTGACTATTAAATTTTAATTCAATCATTCCTTTCTATCTGCATACATATTCTATGAAATTTTGTATAATATAATTTGGGGGTCTGGGAACGAGCTTTAAACATTTGATGTCATCCGTGATATTTTGGCATGAATACGAACCTTCTATAGCATCTGCGCCATTCTGACGAAGAAGTTCCTATAAATAGAACATCAACAATCATCTTTTGAGAGGTACTGGTTAATAGACGATCAGGAGTGTTTGATGAGGTTTACAGACAAGAGGGGTAGCTGAGTAGTTTTAGACCTGATAAAATACGATCTGCGCGATTATTAAACACCATTTATATCTCGCTATGCTATGCATTGCATTGAATCACAAACCTCACTAGGCATGCCATTGATGTACGAACTTCTATTAAAGTATAAAAACCATGTTCGCGACGTGTATGCTAGCTTTAATTCGACCAAAGGTTTGTGATTTACTTCTGAGTTTTTGAAGAGTATAGAGCGTTTTTACGTGATGTCACGGCGGCCATGTTGGTGTTCCAAAACAATACAGGTTCTATATTGAACTCTATTTTTATGCAAAAACTGTGCAGAAAGTTTCTATTGTTTGGTACACCGATATGAAAACGCTCTATATAAATACTCAGGTACTTAGATTTGACGCGAAAAAGACAAAAACGTTACTTATCCGTTACCAAAGCTATGCAAAATCAGATGAGATGCGTGAAAAAGGTGGGAAGACTACGCTGTAATTGATATTTGAATATTGCATGTTTACGGGAGCGAAAAGAACTGACAAACAGATTTTCACAGAACCGATTAACGACTGACATAAAGGTGCTCAACTGGTTTCAAGTTTCTGAATGTTCAAGCTTTCTCTCGAAAAAAAACACAAAATCTTCTTTTTCAAATACTTACTGCTTGGAGTTCTTGACCAGCATCCTTTGCCAGTTCCAATGCTGAAAAACAACAAAGCTTTCAGAAATGAAAATGAAAGACCATTATCTGAACAACATACTGACTGAGCAAAACCTTGAATAAGATTGTGTCATGGAATAGAAAACATTCGGGAACAAATTAATGTCTACATTTTATTTTGGTATGTTAGCCCGTGACATAAATCTTTATTTTTTAATTGCTTCCACCCCACCCCCCTTGGGAAAATCCTAGATACGCCCCTGTTTATGTATATTTATTTGGCACCAGGTTTATGTACTTATCAGTGCAATACTCCAAATAAAATCTTTCTGTTTGTCTGTCTGCCCCACTGAAATGACTGCTGTACTGCTAAAAACAAAAAGCTATCATATACTTACGTGTTCTCTGGTCTTCACTATCAGAGTTTGTATATTTAACCTAAAAAACAGCATAAAGCTAAGAACATGAATCAACAATGACTTACAATTTATTACATTTAAACAGGGAGTCTAGGTCTCCAAAGAAGATCTTAAGTAAGGCCCCGTCATACTATTCGTGGTAATTTATAAAGATGGTGCAAATTGCACGAGGGCTAACGGAATAAGAATGTGCAGGCCATATATGTCACATGGTGTGCAAAATACAATAGGCCCTTTGCAGTTAACGGTCACGTGTCTGTACTGGAGGGCAAAATTTTTGTTTTTATATTAAATTGGTCATTCTTTTTAGCTACTTGTAAAGAACTGAATGAAAACATGTGTAACCAGTGTGTAACGAAATGTAGTTTTATTACGATCTCTCGAAACAGGTTGTAGAAAGTTTGTTTGCAGTCCAGTAAATTTCAACCTTGGGAATCAAAATATTCATTCATTTGCTCTCAGTGAATTAATCAGCACGTGATTGCTTAGCTGCAAAGGGCCTATTCTGTCTAAAGGGTGGGGAAAGTGAGAACGAGCCACTTATTAATCAAACAATAAAACAATCGAATAGTTTTAAATTTACATCAGCTCTGTTAATTAGAAGCTCCATTGTCTTCAGTATGTCATCTTTCACCACTGCCTTTTGCAGACTCTGAAAATATTTGTAAATTTTGCATTAAAAAAACGATTCTCAAGATCAACATGACTGAAAGAGTTTTCAAAGACTTTTCAAAAATTATCCTCTAACCATGTGTACGCAAGACCAACCTCCCATGTACATTACAGTGCGAATCGAAAAACAGTAGGCACCTAGAAATATTCTAGGAATGTTCTATTCTTCTTCCTATAAATATTCTAGGAATGTTCTATTACGCTTCTGATTGGCTATTGAAAATTCTTGAAATATTTCTAGGTGCCCACGGTTTTTCGATTTGCACTGTTAGAGTGTGCAGGAACTACAGTAAGGAGAATGGGGTCAATAAAATCATGTTGTGCTACTGGAGTAGATGGAGTCTACCCTATTGATCACTACCAACACTGATTTTGGGGTCCTATTGTTTACTATTACCTTACTCGTAAAGGATATTTGCTTTTAGTAGATTCAGGAATAAAAACAAACCCTTTACCTGGCCTAATGCTTCTCGCTTGCCGTAATCTTCAGAGATTTTCATATACTTCATGTCTTTATATTTGGAAAAGATGAACTCAATTCTTTTTTCGCTGAAAAAATATTGCAAACATTTATCATTCAATAATAATATTAATAATTGTATTAGTATGATGGAGAGAGAAGTAGTAGATAGTTGGATCTTATAGGAGGTTTTATCGTGACGTTTCTGGTGGCGCATTCTGGCTAAAAAAGAAGCTGATCGTCAAAATAGCCCACTTCCGAAATATGCTTCGCTTGTCACGCACAAAGGATTCAATGTGAGGCTTTGTGCATAATGCTCAGTGTTCGTGACAGGAGAAAAGAATAAATCTGAAACCTGCACTGAAACCTTTGTGTGTGACAAGCAAATTCATGTCGGAAGTTAGCTATTGATCAATGCTGGTTTCAAAAGACGGTCAATTTGTTCTTCTAAAGTCCAACATAAAATAGTTGTGTGGTTTGATCATTTATATTCGAAAAGCAAAAAGCAGGTTTAGCCTATAACTGAAAGCATAGAAGTCATGTCTGTCTTAAAGCGAACTAAAACAGTTTTTTATTTTTACCAGCCGAAAGAAGATTTACGATGCGATAAAAGCTCTGAGAAGAAGTGGTCTAAACACAGAAAAACTCAATTACATTGCAAGAATAGTAATTCAGTTGCGTAGAAAACCCTTTATAGAAGGTAAAAAAGTCGACTAAAAATGCATAAAACTCTCCATACGGCAGTGCGTAAGAAGAGGTCGCCATTTTTGTTTTGCTTCAAATATCAAGATGCTTGAAGAGAAAAACTAGGACAGGGTTGTTGTCTGTTGTTTTTACTACATTTTACACTTAGTTATTTGTTGCTCTGTATTTTGTTTGTCAATCTCATCTCAAGAAAAAGACTAAAATTGCTTAGCTTTCCAATAATTATTTGACGGCCAACAAACCGCTCGTGCTAGGATGTGACTTCAAAAAAAGATTCCATAAAACCTCAGATGAAACCTCCTATAGATAAATATCACAATTGCTAGAAAATAGAGTGTGACGAAAACGCATCGAAAGGTTTGCAAGCATGTTTTCATAGTGCAGTTTTCGTATGACTGTGAAAAGTTCACGGCACGAACACGCCTCGTGACGCAGCAAGGGATACGCCAGACAAATCACATTGCACGAGAATTTCTTCTCCATCCAATAAAATACCCGGAACACGGCATAAACACGGCGCGGATACGGTCACGCCAAGATCACGGCACTTTTAGACCAATCATATTGCGCGTGAAAAAAATCAGCCAATTAAAATTCTAGAAAGTATCACGGTCACGGCACGTCACGCTTACGGCACTGAGCTTTTCAAAGTCGTACGAAAACTGCACTAGCATCCACACTAAAACGATCAGACCAATCACAATTGAGAATTGTTGATGGTCATATTATTACAAACGGCCCTAAGACATACTTATCAGAATCTGGATTTATCCTATCGTCATCTGGTATTCTGAATTCAAGCAGCTTGTTAGCATTATCATTTCCTACCTTCAGCATCAGCTAAAATAAATTCAATATGAAAAACATTTGCTTTATAGTAACAGATCAGGAGAATGGTAATAATGAGAATTTGTCATTTATATAGTGCTCATACTGATCGGTTCTGAGAGCTTAATTACAACATCCATCCATCCTTCCGTCCATCCGTCCATTTCCCCCTACGTAGAAATTTTTTGAAATACCTTCCCCCGCTCGGAAATTCAATTTTTCTTGCATA